ATAAAATATAAAAATAACTAAATCTCTGAAGATGCTCGGTCGGGCGGTAAATTTATATTTTATAACAAAATACAAAAATATATCAACGCGGAAACCAAAATATCGTCGGGCAGTGATGAGAATCAAGGAATTTATTTTATATGGCCTAAACACACCAAAGCGATAGCGTTTGACGAGTTGGTATTGTCAGAAAACATACACAGGAAAGATAGCAATTGAAAATCCAAGGTAAGCGTTGCTTTTCATTGTTGTTTTGCTGAAAAATGTTGTTCACCCCTATACAAACGCCATTTTAACTACGTTTTGGATAGTTAACTATGGCCTAAAGCATAGTTAACTGTAACTACTTTTAACTACTTTTTAACTGCAGTTAAGGCTAACTACGTATTTATACAACCGGCTTAACTACGTGATTAGACTTAACTACAGTTTAACTACTTTTTTACTGCATTTAGCGCTAAATACGTTTTTACACAGCCGGCCCCGGGATATTAGCTCATTTTTTTATTTGTGCATGCTTAGTGATATTTTTTTGATTTCCTGCAATCTGATTGGCAGCAGCAGCGGGCAGCTTTTTACGATATCTTGACTGTGGTCCAAAAGAGTTATTTTTTAGCGACAAACCGAGGAGTGAAGACAATTTTCAAACTCAAAACACTACCCAAAAAGTTTAAAAATCCACCCTATCGATACTAAAGACAGTAAAATACAGTTAATTGGCTTCAGTAGACTTAGTGCCAAGCCCGAAATGTACTTTTCTCCGACCAAACTGCGAAAAAACAAATATAAACATCGAAAAACAATGGCCAGTGGCAGTGCTACAGGTTTTGATTCAAATGTTCCACATATATTCAGCTATTTTTCGAAAATATACGTATAAATATAAATAGTACAACGTACAAATTGTCCTAAAATTTAAAAAAATACCTTGAATGGCAGTTTAAAGACGATTCCTGGGCTTATTTTGGTCAAAATTGTTTTTATAAATGTTGTAAATGAACAAATTGTTTTAAACTAAAATTTGTATTTTTCTGTCAAAAAGTATTTTTCAAGCATGTCCATGCTGTTCAAGCATGTCCATGCTGTAAAACGAATCGGAAAATAAATATTTTTACTTAGTTTACCTTCTGTTTTCTTGTTGAGTAGAAAAGCATCTGTTGCAATGAAACTAAAAGCTTTTTATCCAGCCATGCTTGCACTGAAGTAACAAACGCAACTGATCTCAAATGTACTTCGCAACTGGAATTTTATCTGAACTCATTTTAACCATGAACTATCAAATAAAAAAATAAACAGGTTATTTACCGTTTAGGTCGGTCCGTACTAAAAATATTTTCTCTCAAACTGAATTTGCGACGTTTTGTGAACGAGAAAACGACAAGTTCGCTTTTTATAGCCCGTACAGGATTAAAAACACAATGAAAGAACTCCCACAAATTGTTTACAGCTGAGCAAATGAATTTTTAAAATTCAAAATGGTTAAAATATATATATTTTTGAGAAGAATATTGGCCGAAAGAGCGAAGATAAAAAAACAAAATAGAAAAATATTGAAAATATCCGAAAACCAAAGTCTGTGAATTCAGACCTTGTGTATATAATAAAACAGTTATTCCACTCACGTACTCTTGTCGAATATGAGCGATAGCCGATTCGGCGCTATGCGCCTCATCGGCTATTAGCTCATACTTCGACTCAAGTTCGTAGAATAACTGTTAAATATCCAACGGTGAATCATCTCCCGGTATATGCAATGATATTAAGCTAAGTTTACACTATTTGTTCATTACTATAGCCGTGATTTAAAATAACCATTCGAGGCCAGTGTTATTCGGCATCCTTTTACATAACTTGATAACAGCTGTATGTCCAGATTCCAGATCATACTGGCTTCGCTTAGCAGAATTCAATAGTGAAGCTTGTAAAGTAATCGCAGATTTTCTAATTGGTTTCTAAAACTTTACAGAAACGAGAAATAAGAAATACGACAGAAATAATACAAAATTTATAGAGCAAACCACTAACGGTACTGGTGGCCATGATCTCTTTGTAAGTTTTAATTTCTCAAGCAGAATATCATGATCTATTTAATGATATTTCTCTGAGATCGGAGAAAAACTATCAGGGGAAGTTCCCTCAACAAATATCAAATATGCCGATTACATAAAGCACAAAGAATGTACATTTGATTTTGTGGAAATTACTGAGGATGAAGTTTTATGCATTGACGAATATTTTTAAAACGGAAAAATTTCCTGACGAATGGGCACTCGGTAGAGTTTCCATTTTTATAGCGAGCTTCAAGACTGAAAAAATACAAAACAATGGACTCTCCGAAAACGGTTAACATTTTGATTCGACGTTTCGACTGGCTTGCAGTCATCATCAGGAATGACGCTACTAAGAAATACAAAACTATATATACAAGATGAAATGAAATATGATATCTGTTAGTTAAAAATTATTAGTTCCTTAGAGGCTTTACATCCGTGGTTAAGTTCCGGTCTTTGGCGATGAATATATAGTGATTCTTTAAAAAGTAATAAAGACCAATGTCTGGATTTGTCTAATATCTTACAGTTGTTGAAAATAATTGATTCAGGAGTGAAGTCATCTAGATTAAATAGTGTATGAGGAAGATTAAATAGCGTTCTATAATACACGAAGTGTTCGCATGAATTTATGTGTTTGTAAATCTCTGATTCTTTACTGCAGGCATGCTCTTTTAGCCTTGTCATCAGACAGCGATCTGTCTTTCCGA